GAGGTTGGGAAATGGCAGCCTCTGAGCTGAAACCAGCCCACTGAGGAATGCCATTGGATTAGGGCCTTGTTGGATCATGCCAAGAGCCCCTTGAGTCTGGCACTCTACTCTTACAGTGGCCAAAAAGATGCCCACCAACAGAACCTGTTTGCCTCCCCACCTGCGATTCCCAGGTAAGCACCCAACCCTCAGTTCATTCCTCTCATCCAAGCACCTTCAAACAACCCAGAGCTACAATCCTCAGAGCCATTTAACAGATAATCCTTCTTCCCAGGGAACTATGGAGATGCAAAGAGGTTGAGGGAACGTTCTTTCATATGCGGCGGACTTGTAAAAGGGAAAGAGTATTGGGAAATAATCCACACTGAATTGAAAAAAAAGTTTTAAAGTACTTTCCCGAAAAACCAGAGTCCTTTCTGTTGGGGATAATTCACACAGAAATTCCCAGGTGTCAAAAAAGGTTATTTATGTACTGCGGCCCGTGTTTTCTTCACCCCAAAATGGAAAATGAGTGAGGTCCCAGCTAAAGAAGAGTGGCAACTTAAGTTGACAGAATATGCGCAGCTTGCAGACTTAACATATAGAATAAGAACAAGAAGAACATACATTTAGAGAAGATTGGAAAACGTTTATTGAATATATGGGAAATAACTCTGTACAGCTGAAAAAGCTGGCAGCATCAAGATAACTTCAACAGTGTAAATAAGTTATGTAATGGATGTAATAATGGAATACTGAATGGTATAGTTTTTGTAAAATATGCAGGGATTTATGATATGTAAAATGAACCATGGAAAGAGAAGAAGGGAAGTGATTGATATTATAAGGATGTAAAAATGAGTATTTAAAATAGTAAAACAGAAAATTTAATAAAAATTATATACAAAAAAAGAGAGAATTGTAGCTCAATGAGAATAGGGATTTCTTAACAACTCTCAGCACCCTTAACAAATCAAAGTTCCCAAGATTCTTCGGGGGAAACCACGGCTGTTAAAGTGGTATAATACGGCTTTAAATGTAAGGTGCAGATATGGCCTGAGTGTCGTTGGACTCCAACTCCCATCAGCCCCAGGTGGCCTGGCCAGTGGTCAGGGATGATAGGAGCTGGAGTGCAGCAACTTCTGAAGACCCCCAGGTTCCTCATCCCTGAGCTGTGTGATAAGGTAAAGGTAAAGGGACCCCCGACCATTAGGTCCAGTCGTGGCCGACTCTGGGGTTGCGGCGCTCATCTCGCTTTATTGGCTGAGGGAGCCAGCGTACAGCTTCCGGGTCATGTGGCCAGCATGACTAAGCCGCTTCTGGCGAACCAGAGCAGCACACGGAAACGGCGTTTACCTTCCCGCCGGAGTGCTACCTATTTATCTACTTGCACTTTGATGTGCTTTTGAACTGCTAGGCTGGCAGGAGCAGGGACAGAGCAACGGGAGCTCACCCCGTCGCGGGGATTCGAACCGCCGACCTTCTGATCGTCAAGTCCTAGGCTCTGTGGTTTAACCCACAGCGTTACCCGTGTCCTGAGCTGTGTGGTATGAAGCACTAATTCCTATGTATAACTGAGAACACTGTGTACTTTACATTGGTCAAGGAGCCTGGTCCCTCTGTAAGAAAAGAAAGACAAACAGATCAGACATTTCAGACAGAAACATGGAGAACTGAAGCAATGGAGCATTTCCGTCTCCCTGGACACTCCATCTCTGACCTTAGGGTTGTGAGACTTAAAACAGACCTACTTGACAAATTACAGCAGGAGGCTGCAGAATTAACACATTTAATTAAGTCTCCCAGGGCCTGGACGAGAACTATATGCGATTCTCTCCAACGGGAAGGAAGCAAGGGGAGCTGACTCTTGGGCTTGTCTGCCATGCAAATAGGCTGCAACTTTTATTAAACTTAGGAAGAACTGGGCGACTTAAAAAAGCAGGGGGCCTGAGGAATGGTAGACCCTTGACCCTTTCCCCTTTTGACATCCTGTGGGCAGAACAGAAGGGATAGTTTCCTCTCGGGAACTAGCCTTGTCTGGCAGCAGTTAGGTTGGCCTGGCACTCTTTTGTTTCCCACAATGCCCTCCATGTGCTTCTCTGGGGCATTGTGGGAAATTTAAAATGGTGGCTTGCTTGTGCAGTTGCAACACGTGGGAGGGGGGCTGAATCAATATTCAAAAGCAGGTTAGGTTAGGAGATATTGCAGGGGTCAGCAAACTTACCACGCCTCGAGCTGGTGTCTCCAGCGCTGATTGCGCAGTGGGCCGGAGTGCGGGGGAGCGCGTGCCCATACGCATGCGCACACGCTATTTCTGGCACACTTCCAGGTTGGAGGAGCACCGGAAATAGCTTGTGTGCATGTGCATGGGCCTCCTCCAACCTGGATGTGCACTGAAAAAAGCGCTTGCACATGTGCGCAAGCTATTTCCGGTGCTCCTCCAACCCGGAAGTGGGCAGCTGCGCAGCACAGTGCCGCTAAGTGTGGGCAGTGGCAGCAGGCGTCGCCACAGGCTGGATATACGAGTCCCTCGGGCCTTATCTGCCCGCGGGCCTTTTTGGGGGGACCCCTGAAATAGTGGCTGCCCAAGTCACCCGGTGAGTTTCCTGAGTGCAGATGTGAGCCTGGATCTTACCTAGCCTAGTCCAATGCTCCATGGATTACAAATGTTGTGCCCTCTGGATGCTGTTGGACTGTAACTCCCATCTTTCCTGAGCCCTGGCCACATTGGTGGGGTGCTGATGGGCACTGGAGTCCAACATCCAGAGGGTACCATATTAGCTTCCCCTGAAATAACCACACAATATGGGCCAACCTATTGCCTATTGATTTACCTACCCAGTTTTGAAACCATCTAAGCTAGTAGTTGTCAATGACACCCAAATTCTGTATGTTACTTGATCGCCTGCCGAAATAGGCACGGTTAAATATATTGGGTGGTATCCAGGGTTAGTCATATTCAGAGTGGGTCCACTGAAATCAATGGGCATTGCTTGCTTTGGTTCATTGAGAGCTTAGTTGGATACAAACCATGGATTTAAATTAACTTAAATTGCACTTGCCTTGGTACTGAATTAATACTAATGTACTTTTATTAATATGGGTTATTTGCTGCTTTCCCCCCCATTTAGGAGCCAAGCTCATACTTTTCAGCCTCTGCAGAAATGAAATCTTAGCCTTATTACTTTATCATCGTGAGGATTGTGATTTCTGCCTATAAGATCCCCCTGCTTCCTGCAAAAGATGAAATCAAGAGAACTGGCAACTTTGTATTTTGCAATTTCTTGCCACCTCCCCAGCTTTTTACGGGTTTCCAAATGGGCTGTTGCCAATTAATATGTGATATGGAAACACTGGCAATCTATTTCAGGAAGCTCTCCCTGCTATTTGCTGGGTTTTAAAGTATTCCTTAGCTGGCCAATTACTTTTCTCTTGTTAAAAATGAGGTTCAGCTATTTTAGAATTATTCTAAGGTGTATTAAAAAAATAAAAATCCACTCCCAGGGCAAGCACCTTTAATGAAGTTAGAAAATGTATCTACACTCTTGTTAGAAAGAGCCCTTTGCCATCTCACATAGCTCTTTCGTTAGGAGAAAAAGGGGGCTGTTCTCCCATTTCAAGTTTAATTTTTTAGGCCAAATGAAAATTATTCTGCAGCTAGTGCCAGAAAAAAATGGGAGATCTTAGTCCAAGGAAAATTAGAATGGCCTGAGGAAGGTGGTGGAGCAAGAACTAAGACGATAAGTTGAAGCAATGAGTCTGTTTAATATCCAGAAGTTATAGAACTATAGAACTACTAGCCTCAAATGTGTGTGTGTATGTGTGTAAAGGATAAGGAGCCTACTATGGTTCGCCAGTTCCAAATCTGGGTTACGTGCATTCCACAACACACTTCTGCAATTGCACAAGGCAAATATAAAATATGATACTAGGTGCAGAATTATGGTCCTGGAAGCCTGGTTTCCATTTTGTTTCTTTCCCATCAACTGCTGTCTGAATTTCTATCTGTACTAGAGATGCCAGAGTTTGAACACAGGACCATCTGCCATCTGATTAATTTCATTAACAAAGCTTGATTGTAAAAAACTTCAAACCAGTTTATACAAAGAATAAACTAATAACACTATTGATACAAACCTTTTTTTAAAAAACAACAATATTTAAAACATTTTTTAAAAAATTGATAGATTAAAAACAGATTAAAACACATGTCAGTATTCTATATATCTGGGCAGGCTTGCCTGAACAAAAATGTATTAAGCAGGCACCGAAAAGAGTACAGTGACGGTACTTGCCTGATGTCAATAGGCAGGGAGTTCCACAGGGGCTGGCACACTAAAAGATCCATTTCATACAAATGCAAACCAAATATGTGGTACCTCTAACACAGCCAGTTCCACAGATCGAAGTTGTCATGAGGGTGTACGGTATGTTAATATCAGAACCAGAGCTTTTTTCTGAGGGGACACATACCCCTAAACATTTTTGTGAATCTTTGTACTTTTGTCCATTTACTGTATTTATTTTTCCCAATTTGAACTATAAAATGAGTCAAAATGAGAGTACCCCTACACATTTTTTGGGGGGGGGAGCACTGGTCAGAACCAACCATCTATTTGGCAAAGGAGATCTTTGCAAACCGCGTGGGATCCAAGGATATCTAGATCAGAGAACCACCACTTAAGAACAGAGAGAATTTATACACAAAATATGATTTGGCACCCTAAGCAGTCCTGGGCATGGATTCTAATTGTAATCCCCATCATGTGTGGGATTTTTAAAAGATGCAAGTAATAAAGAGTAATATAATTATGTGACCCATGAAATCAATTTGAAACTCCGGACTTTGTGTGAGCATAAACAAGATCTCCAACTCATCCATTCAGACATTACGTTTTCCCCTTTCTGTGTGTGTGCAGGCAGATGTGAAATGACTCCCAGCTCAGGTTGTGTTTTTTTTAAATGCACCATGAGGTTCAGCCCCAAGAGAGGCATTAAATCATACATGGGCTTCTCTGTACTTTTTTTTTTTAAGGGGTGGACAACAATAATTTGGTGACTAAGAAAAATGATCTGTTTCCTTTTTGTCCTCCTGGAACAACTCAGCCCAGCCACTTCTCAGAGGGACTCATTAGCATCTCTCACCTGTGTCAGGAAGGAGGGGGGAGACAATAAATAAGCCCTTGGGGATCCATTAAATTAAAACCACTAAATACAGAAGTTACCACAAAGAAATACACAGGCATAGTTTCTTTGACTACAGCATAGAGGGAAACAGAAACTGGTTAAAAGTCAAATTGGAACTTAATGTGAAAAAATGTCTCTTTATTTAATAAGTTGTCCTAGCTAAAGAGCAGCTACTAATACTATAGTTGACATGGATCAGAATCAATACAGCCAACCTATACTCCTTTGCAAACAGAAGCTGTTCTCAAGGGCTTGGCATACACTGGTTGCAGTACATAGTGAACCAAAACCATGAAGAGGCACCCAATGAAAACCACACAGAGAAGGGACAGCAGGACGAAGCGGCCGATAAAGAAGGTGTCGACAATCTGTGAAGACAAATTGCACAAGTGACAGCTGAGCATATCAATGACAGAAGACTTACTTGTTTTTCTTCTCCTTTGAATAATAATAATAATAATAATAATAATAATAATAATAATACTTTATTTATACCCCACCCATCTGGCTGGGTTTCCCACTCTGAGCGGCTGCCCAACAGAATATTAAAAATAGAATCGAACATTAAAAACTTCCCTAAACAGGGCTGTCTTCAGATGTCTTCTAAAAGTCAGACAGTTGTTTATTTCCAACTCTATAATTCTAAGATAATATGGCTGGCTGGAGATCAGATCAAGGCCACACAGGCTGAAGTTGTTGGTGTATGAAGGCAGTGAAGGGTTGCATTAAAGGCACACAAGGCCCAATTTGAAAAATGCTGCATAGATGTGCAATTAGATGGTTCCATTTCATCATCATCATCATTTATTTACACCCCACCCATCTGGCTGGTTTCCCCCAGCCACTCTGGACAGCTCCCAACAGAATATTAAAAACATGATAAAACGTCAAGCATTAAAAACTTCCCTAAACAGGGCTGCCTTCAGATGTCTTCTAAAACTCAGATAGTTGTTTATTTCCTTGACATCTGATGGGAGGGTGTTCCACAGGGCGGGCGCCACTACTGAGAAGGCCCTCTTAAATAAATAAATAAAAGGTGTGCTCACAGATTAATAAAAGCAAGACAAATCTCCTGTGCTCAGGGTTACCATCTAAAAAAACATGACCCAAAAGGAAAGTGTATTTGGAGCAGGGAAAGCAAACTCGGGAAATAATTATTTGTTACAAAGCTCTTACACTGAGCAGCTGGAATGGAAAACAGTTCAACGAGAGGAGCCAAGCATTGAGGGTCTCTCAGCAGCGCCAATGAAGTGTCCCTGCACACTTCTTTCCCTGCCTGCCACACAGCCACATCCAGATGGAATGGCTGCTGCATCTCATCCCTTGCTCCCTCTGCCTGGGTGAGCAAACACCACGGAAAGACTTGAACATCAAACTTTTTGTGCGCCAAGCTCACTGACAGAGTCTCTCCACTAGGAGGCCTTATTGTGAGAGGCGAGGCAGGAAACTGAGGAAAGGGTTTCTTCATTGGTGATGGAGTGCTTCTGCTCATGGAAGTCTCTCCCTAAGAAGGCTTGCTTGGCTCCTAATCTGGTATCTTTTCAGGGCCATACAAAGACCCATCTTTTAAAGTCCTACACTAGTGGACAAAATTGTGGAAACCTTTTGGGAAAGTGTATTTCTGAGGTTTGATGACTGGCTCTTTAACACTCATGCTCATTGGCTACATTCAAATGAAGGAAAGCTACTCATATCAACCTAAGCAAGTTGTGCTTCCTTTTTCTGGTAATTTGGCTATAACTTTTGACAGAATACAGATAATTGAACAAACTTTGTTGCATTACATTCTTCATTAAATTATCTTTCCAGTGATATATAATTTTATGGTATTACTCCAAAACAAAGTGGTGTTATAAGCCATCAAACCTCAAAACAACAACAACAACAACAAAAAAAAAAAACACTTTTTCCAAAAGGTTTCCACAATTTTGGCCACAATTGTATGTATATTTTAAGTACTGCTCTGTTGTTGGCTGTTTTATAGTCAATTTGAATTTTCCTGTCTTGCATTGATTTCATTGTTGATTGTATTTCATTATGAGCTATCCTGAGAGCCATATGCTAAAACTGCAACAACCAGAAGCCAAACATTGCAATGCCTTGCCAACTTCAAGAAGGAGACAATAGGTGGAATTCAATGTCTCAGGATAAAAAAAATCAAGAAAGAGTTAAAGAGAAACCACAGCAACAAAAAGAATCAGCAGCATATACTGTAGCTTTGGCCTCCGGTCAGAGGACTTATCCCACCAAATTCAACAAATTGTATTTCGTATCAAATATATTCTCACGCAAGAGTGACTTCAATTCTTGTTTACAGTAAAAAAAAAGCTTCTGGAATGAATAAATGCACAAATTAAAAGTCTCTGAGTTTTCCTTTCATGCTCATTAAGGCTTGAATTATTTGCAAGAAGCCATGGGTCCGGCTGGCTTGTGCTTTGCCTTCCCCATGGTTGCCCCCCTGCCCTTGCAGTGAAAACTGAACTCCGGTTAAGTTAAAGCGGTCAGTTTGCCCTACAAATATAAGTAGAGATGCATGCTAGGACAAGAGAGGAGGAGTGAGGTTAAAGCTGCCATATAAGAACCCCTGAACAGCCTGGGAAAAAAATATAATAAAAAGAAGAGTTTGGTAGTGAGGCACCCCACCCCATCAGGAAGAGACGGGTTCCCACACCCTCTTCCCAGCTCCTGGGACTGCTCTACACTCTGCTTACAGCAAAGGTGAGTTTCATGAAACAGCATTAACACAAGTTTGACCTCGGCTCCGCTACAGAACAAGTCTCCTGTGGGTGACATGTTTGCTCGCTCAACACACTGCACTTTTTAATTAGCCAATTAGCAGGCTTTGGGTGCCGAAAGCTCAGGGCATGTATTATTGATACCATATTGTGCTGGGCTGCTGCCGAGGTGAGTCCTAGAGATCCTCGGAATGGACTCTTTTGCGGTGCAGGAGTGTCTCTCAAAGAGAGACTGCACTGCTAAGTCCAGCTTCCACAGTTTCTCCTGATCCTGCTGTGATTCTATAGAGGAAAAGAACAATATGGAGGGTAGAGAGTGGTAGCTGAAATATGGCCAGGACTGAAATTTCACATATACAGGGACAGATTTGCTTTGACACCAGGCTTAACCTAGTAATGGGTTCCAAAACAGAAGGAATACTGTACTGGCCTGAATACAAAAAAAGCCTCACTTTTTTTCCAAACTCTGACCATGAAAAGTTGAAGTGTGGCTTAAATTCACAACCTTACAAAAATGGGTTTTTACAATATCGCTGCTGAAACCGACATACGGTAAAACGGAACGGGTGTGAGTGCCTGCGGAATTTTAAGGGAGCGGCTTATATTCGGGTGTGGCTTATATTCAGGCCAATACGGTACTACTTTGCAAGACTCTACACTCAGAGCAGCCGACTGGCCCTTGCTGACACCTGCTAGGAATAAATATTTCCATGAAACAGGGCATTAGCTGAATGCCTGAACAGGGAATTAGCTGCTCCGCTTCTTAGGCCATGCAGCCTTCTCTTCGCTGGATCCACTGCTCTTTCTTCATTGCTTCTCCTTGCCTTTTTACACCACCTCCATCACCAAGGCCAGAACATACTTGTGATATCACTTGTTGCCAGCTCCATATGTACAGCAGACTCCTGTTCATTTCCAACATAGACTTGTTACCTGCTGAACTCTGCTGCTGCAGCCCCCATTGGCTCCTAGAGGTCTCAAACCCATAGCACCTTTCCCAGCTCTTAAGAAGCTAGGATGTCTCATATTGAACCAGTCTCCAACAGGCACTTCTTGGTGCCTTACTTAGCTCCTATGCCACCAGCAGTCTGCTCCTTCAGGACACAAGGCAGATCTGCCTTTGTGGATCAAGGGTGCCCTGAGCATCTTGTAGCCACACAAGAACTTGGTGCAGTTCTGCCATTATTAATTATTACTGCAAGAAGCAAAGTTACAGGGAACCAGGCAGAGGGCCTTCTCAGCAGTGACGCCCTCCCTTGAGATGTCAAGGAGATAAAAGAACTACACAACTTTTAGAAGACATCTGAAGGCAGCCCTGTATTGGGAGGTTTTTAACGTTTGGTGTTTTTATTATGTTTTTAGATATGCTGTGAGCCGCCCAGAGTGGCTGGGGGAACCCAGCCAGATGGGCGAGGTATAAAATCACCACCATCATCATCATCAGTGTTAAGCAAAAGTGCATGTACAGGACTGCAAACCAGCATAGGTAGTGGCTTGCTGGTTCAGACCATGAGACACCGAGGTCGGCATTCTTTGCAGGAATTCCAAGCAACCAAGTGGACCTACCAGGCACTGTTCAGTGGTCCAAAAAGTGGGCACTGGTCTACCTTCTGCCTACCCTTGAATGAGAAAATAGCATTTCTACTATCTCTAGTTGCTCTCTGGAATGGAGTGGGGAGGAGGGAAAACTTTGCTGTGTGTATATGAGGAAGCTGTGCAACACTCACTCTGTCTTCCTTTCTTTTGCAAATATCCCGCGGCATGCATCCAAGAGCACATCAGGGGGTGGGGGAGCGCAATCAAGGCAAAGTCTGGATTTGTCACATTTAGTACCTAGCATAAATCTCCTTGCAGCTAAGGAGATGGGAGAAGTTGTATTCTGCCCTTGTCCTAGAAGCACAGACACTACTTAACAGGTGTCCATGACACTCTTGCTGTGGCAGAGTGGCACATTACATTACATGCTCTGCATGCAGAAAGCCCCAAGTTGAATCTCAGGCATCTCCAGGTAGGACCATCTGGAACCCTGGGGAGCCACTGCCAGTCCATGTTGACAGTAACTCGCTTGAAGGACCAGTGGTCTGACTCAGTACAGGGCAAATCCCTATTTTCCCATGTAATCACTTTCTGGGCAGCACTCCAAATTGCAGTGACCCAGTTGGCAAGGGAGAATGCAATTCCGCCCCCAACAGACGCTTTGGGGTCCGAGAAATGATGCTTTAATTCTTTGTAACAAGGGCGCATGTGCTATAAACTGAAATTGCAGACAATAAAGTTCTTCAGAAGAAGAAAGAAAGATACAGCTGTCCTAAGTAAGTCTAGGTGATTTCCCCTGCTGTTGGAGTGTGGCGGCAGCGGGGCCTTGTAGAGGAATGCAGTCAGGAAGGAGCCTTTGCGCCAGAGAGCTCAAAACATTCCCAGTGTCTCTAGGAGATGAAGACAGGAGAAGGACTATGTAATGAATGTGGAGTTTAAATAATTAGGACCAGGAAACCTTTGGGAAGAGGGAGAATTTCCTCCGAAGCTGATCCATGAGGGAGCCAAACTGCTGGTAATGGAAATTCAGACGGGGGGGGGGGAGGTTGTTAATCTTGCAGCAGGGGAAAGCCTTGAGAAGGAACATTTGATTATCG